AACCATTGTTCTAGCAAGTTCCACAAGAGACCTATTCTTTCTTTCTACCGCTCTATTTTGTTGAGGAGTCCTTGGTGCCGAGAAGTTGTGAGATATTCCATGTTCTCCATAAAATTCTTCAAATAGAGCATTTTGGAATTCTCCGCCATGGTCGCTCCTTATTGAGGCAATTGTTAGAGACTTCTCATTCTGAATTTGTTTAGCATACTTCTTGAATGCCTTGAATGCATCACTTTTCTGCACTAAAAAGAATGTCCAAGTTTATCTAGAGAAATCGTCAACAATAACCAAAGCATATACATTACCTCTAAAACTCCTTATTCTCGATGGACCAAATAAGTCCATATGTAAAAATTGTAGTGGCCTTTAGTGGACACCACATTCTTAGATTTGAAAGTTGATCTAGTTTGTTTACCTTTTTGACAAGCATCACATAGTCTATCTTTGACGAAATTTATCTTAGGCAATCCAATGACAAGATCATGCTTGATTAATTTATTCAAGTGTTCCATGTGAATATGAGCAATTCTTTTGTGCCACAGCCATGAATCACCGTTGTTCGCCATGAGACATTTAACCTTCAAAGATAGATCATCAAGGGAAATCATGAATATATTATTGATTCTTTTACCTTTAAGTATAACCTCATGAGTGACTTCATCTTCTATCAAGCATTTATCCTTGGTGAACTTGATTTTGAAGCCTTTGTCACAAAGTTGGCTAATACTAAGAAGATTGTGCTTTAGTCCTTCAACATAAAGAACATCTTCAATGGATGTGAAAGGTGGAGCACCAACTTTGCCTTTGCCTAGGATTATTCCCTTATTATTGTCTCCATAAGTGACAAAACCCTTGGCCTTTAACGCTAGATTTGAAAATTGGTTTATGTCTCCTGTCATATGCTTTGAACAACCACTATCAAGATACCAAAGATTGCATGTGGTCTTCAAGCATACCTGCAAAAAAAAATTAGGTTTTGTTAGGTACCCAAGTTGCTTTGGGTCCTTCATAGTTAGTGCCTTTCTTTACCCATACATAATGCCCACTTGCCACACTGAAGTTTCTAACATAGCAAGCATTAAGTGTATGGCCTTTGATGCCACCATAAAAACAAGTAGGTTCCAAGTTACTTCTATATCTAGAAGGATAGGATTTCTTCTTAGGGAATTTTTTCTTTTTAGGATAGTGACGAACTATTTTAGGTTTGCTCACTTTCTCTTTGGATGATTGATCACTAGCCTTACCAAAGATAGTTTTGTTAGAACTTGGTTTTGAAAACTTTGAATATCCAAGTCCACTTTTATCATTGGAGTATATTTATTGGATAAGAACACCTTCCAATCCAATTTGGCCTTTTTCATATCTTTCAATGACTCTTTTTAATTGGACAATTTGGAAAGAGAGTGAATCACAATTTTTGCATACAAAATTATGTTTTTGTTCATCACTTGATTTTTGTTTTTCTTCTTTGAAATCTTTTTCCATAGAATCATATTTTTCTTCTAAGGATGAAATTTGTTTCTTTTGTGATGAAATAGTTTTATACAGAATTTTGCATTCATTCAATAGTTCATTTATAGCACCTTGTGCATCACTATCAAAAAGAGAAAATTCATTACTAACCTCATTGTCTTCATCATCGGAATGGTGTGAGGCCATCAATGCTAGATTTTCACTTTCATCACTATCGGAATCGGATGAGGAACTTATTTCATTATCCTCCCATGTGACATAAGCCTTTTTGTTCTTGAATCCCTTTTTTCTTTTGAAGCCACCTTTCTTGGAGAGTTTTGGACAATCCGGCTTGATATGACCTTGCTTACCACATTCATAACATGTGATTTATTGTGTTGATGTGGAAGCTTCCTTTTTCTTAAATTGTTTCTTTCCTTTAGAATGAGAAAAGGGTTTGTCATTTCTACCAAAGAACTTACCAAGCCTTTTAACAAGAAGCATGAAATTTTCATCTTCTTCCGGATTGTCTTCCTTTTCAACTTCCTTGGAATCTATCTTTAAAGCAATATTCTTGGATTTTCTCTCTTGATTTTCATGCTTTTCAAGTCTTCCGAGTTCCGTTTCATATTCTTGAATTTTTCCAAACAATGTTGCGGATGTCATGTTGGAGAGACTTTTCTTTTCTGAAATTGCGGTTACCTTTGGTTTCCATTCCCTAGTTAAGGACCTATGTACTTTCAGATTTAGTTCATCATTCGTCAAAGTTTTACCAAGAGCACTTAGATGATTTGTCAAGTGCACAAATCTCTTTTGTAAGTCAAGAATGGTTTCTCCAGGCTGCATTCGAAATAATTCGTATCTTGACTTAGGGTATTTAGTCTTGATCTTTTTACTTCAACTGTTCCTTCATGAGTTTGTACCAAGGTATCCCATATTTCTTTTGATGTCTTGCATGCCGAGACACGAAAGAATTCATCCATGCTAAGTGCACCTTGAAGAAGGTTTATTACCTTTTTATCATAGAGAACTTTCTTCTTATCATCATCGTCCCATGCATTTTTAGGCTTTGATGAGCCAACACCACTGATTACCGTTATAGGGATAAATGGACCCTTTTTGACGGCATCCCATATTTCTTATCCTTGTGCTTCAAGATGTGCCTTCATGCATATTTTCCAAAAGTCAAAATATTCACCACAAAATAGAGGAGGCTTGTTGTTACTACTACCATCTCTGAAAACGGGATTTTGATTTGCGGAAGCCATTCTGGATCTTTTAGGAGCAGGTTACCTATAACCTGCTCTGATACCAATTGTAAGTACGAAGTGCGCCTAAGAGGGGGGTGAATTAGGTACTTTAAAAAATTCTGGTTTTAGTGATGATGGTTCTTATTTTTCTGGTTAAAGGTTAGTTTAGGAAAGCTTAAAATGCAGAAAAATAAAGAGACACGGGCGATATATCCTGGTTCCCCTCACAGTCCGAGAGTACTCCAGTCCCCTTTCAACATGAAAGAGATTTCCTTATTGTGGCCAATTTAAACAAGAACTACCAAACAACCAAGAACAATACTTTTGGACCAAGAACAATCCTCTTGGATTTTCACTATGTCAACTATAAGATCAATCCTCTTGAAGTGACTACACTTGTATCCAATAATTTTGGAAAAACAAGATTTCAAAAACACTTAAACTTATTTCCAACAATCCTGGAAAAATAAGTAAGTAACTATCAATATTTGAGTTTGAGTGAGTTGAGTAGTATTGATCACTTAGAGTGATTTAACAATGTATGATCTTCTCTTCCAATAATATTATTGTACAATGAATCAAGATATAACTGCTCAAAGTTTTCTGTTAAAGATGTATGAAAATGTGCAGAAAACTTATGCATAAAAGTGAAGGAATGCTTGAGTTTGTATTTTGAAAATTCAGAAAATATTTATGGAAGAGGTGTTGAAACAGATTTTGAAAATGAATATTTATATTTTCATAACACCCTTTTAAAACATCATGAAGTTCTGAAAATGTATCATGAACAAATGCCAAGTTTGATTGAAAGGTTTCAATGAAAAGGTATGATGAACAGTCATGTGAAAAGTTGTTGTTTTTCAAAATCGTGCAGCATGCAATCGATTGCACCCTTTGTGTAAATCGATTGCACAAGGTTTCAACAGCTATATTTTCAAAAGTTTTGAGTGTGCAATCGATTGCACTAGCAATATAAATTGATTGCATGTAAAGTCAGTAGCAAAAAGTAAGTGAGTGCAATCGATTGCACAAGCAATGTAAATCGATTTCACTGAGAAACAGAAGCAATCATTTTGAAAATTTTAAGTATGCAATCGATTTCACAAGTAATGTAAATCGATTGCACTGAGAAACAGAAGCAAAAGATCTGAAAAATTGAAGCATGCAATCGATTGCACTAAAATGCAAATCGATTGCACTCAAGTGAAAAATGAAATTTTAACTTGAAAAACTTGAGTAATGATTTTTTAAACATTTCTTTTTTATCAATGAGCATCTATATCGTAAGATCAAAGTAAGTAATATTATTATACCTTGAAAGTTGTTGAGAGCTTTGAACTGAAGATATTGTCCTTAGATACTTTGAGATTTGATCATAAATCTTTGTCTTCTTTGTCAATCATGGTTTGTCTTCATCAAAACAAAAGCTCATTTGAGAAACTTGATTTTACAAAACATTGGCAACCTCTTACGATTCGAATTACATCATGAAATTGCATTTAACTTGCACCTTATTGGTTTTCACTACAAGAAAAATGATAGATTGAGACGGTTATTTTGGCTGATTACGACGGTTAAAACCGTCGCAATTTACAATCTACGACGGTAGAAGTACCGTCGCAGAATCGTGCGTCCCCAGCCTATTTCGCGACGGTTGCAAAAACTGTCACGCACAACAGATGGCGACGGTTATATACCGTCGTGAATTTGACTTTATTTTTTGTTTTTGTTGTTGTTTGCGACGGTTATATACCGTCGTGAACTTGACTTTATTTTTTGTTGTTGTTGTTTGCGACGGTTATATACCGTCGTGAATTTGACTTTAACCGTCGTAATCTAATTTATAAATTTCAAATAATATTTTTATTTAAATTATTATTTAGTAAAATAATTTTAAATATAATATTATTTTACTATAATATTTTACTATTATATTTAAATTATTATTTACTTTAATATTTTTTTATTTATAGTATTTTTATTTTATTTTCTATCACTTTTCAACATTGTTTTGAAATGAGCAATCCAATTGTTTTGAAATATTTACTAACTCAGTATTATTAATTCAGTTGGGAAACCATTTGTAAAATAATGCAAGGAGACATTGCTTTTGCTATTGAAGCGTGAGATTTCCGTGAGATACCAGTACTTATTATTGGGAGAAAAGATTTATGAATTATTGCACATTGTAATATGCTTATACCACCTTATAACTTTGCTACAAGTTACCTATAACAAGTGAGATTTTCCGATTTTCAGGAACTATAACAAAAAGAGGTTAGCTTCGAAATCTCTTGATCATTTTGCAATCTTTGCAGCCATTTCTCTGACCAACTTAGCAGCTACCATAGCAGTCATTCCATCAACAGTATCGCGTTGTGGGTTGAGTTCAATGACGTCTCCAGCAACAACATCACCTTGAAGATTGTGTAGGATGTTAAGAACATCGCGGAAAGAAAGACCTCCCGGTTCAATATGAGACACTCCCGGAGCAAATGCAGGATCAAGACAATCCACGTCTATCGAGATATACACCCCTTTCACACCTTCCCCTAGTTTCTGCACAAGGAAATCACCAAGGTTTAAAAAGAACATACAAATGCACAAGTTAGTATCAATACATGCACACTCGGCATCAAGGGCACTTGTAGCTTCATCAAGAAGTAATATTTTTGGATCTTTCAAAATTGCTCTTCCAATTGCAACTCTTTGCTTTTGACCTCCCTAGAGTTGAGTTCCATGTTCACCAACCATTGCGTCTAGTCCCTAAGATCATTAACCATGTTTAAACAAAATGATTAAATAAAAAAGAACACGCTCAATATGAAGGGGCAGAATATTTCAAACTGTAAAATAGAATTTACTATGACGTTACATGTACATTCAGGAGGAACATGAATACCTTGTACTAATACAGTGAATTGATCGATGAAGCTCCAGCTTGGAGGAATAGAAGCAAGCAATTAGTTGTTATGCAATGTACTCATACTCCTTCATGTAATATTAACATCAACCATGAAACTCAATCACTGTCATACAGGTTAACATAAACAATAATAATTGAAAGCATGTATTTAAAAAAAATGTGAGCAATAATCACTTACAAAATAAAGAAGAATGCAAACAACCCCGATGAAAATGTAAGCAGCGCAAAATTGAATCTGTAACCTTGATAAAGGCCAAATCTAGCGATTAGAGTTCCTATGTTATAACTGATACAAATTAAACGAAAAGACTCGAATTTCAATAACACTTATTACAAATATTTCACTCACATGTGTAGTAGTGTAAATAAAACAACAAACATTAAAATTGTCATTTGTTAGGTGCCATCATCACAATACCCTATAAGACCAGTCAAGTATTTATGATGAACTATAGCAAAACATTTGGCCTTGAGGTGTCTGATAACCTTGTCCATAACCTTGTTGAGGATGTCCTGCCTGCTGATAAGGTGTCTGATGTCCATAATCCTGGCCCTGAGGCTGTCCATAATTGTAATTCATCTGTGCTGGGGATGGGCCCATGGAGGGTAAAGGAGAAGGTCCGGTACCATGTTGGGGAACTGAACTGGGATGTTGGGCAGATGATGGAGCCTCAGATGAATGACCCCCTTGTCCGCCATAATAATCATAACCACCATTATGTGAGGGTGGCCCCTGTATACTCTGGTGAGGCCTTTGCTCCCAACCAGAACCATAGCTGCTCCTTGGAGCCATATGTTGAGGATAATTTCCATAAGGAGTAGGAGCATATGATTGATTGTGAGAAGGATATGGCCCGCGGTGTTGATAGTCATATGATTGCTGATGGCCATAATGTGAGCTTCGCTGACCCCATTGAGGTGGACCACCAGATCCTCTAGGTGGACGGTAAGCCTGCTGGCCAAAACCACCTGTTGATGACCTGATAGGCTATAAAAGCACAGCATACAAAAATAAGTAAATAGGAAAAAATAATAATAACCAGAATCATATCAGAATAAGTTGACTAAGCCAAAATAGAAAAGATGCAGCTATTGCGATCCAATTAAATATTAAAATCTGGTTGCCATGATAGCCAAGAGAAAATATTTGTCATGATATAAATCAGGTTAAAGGACACACTCCTCCAAAAACAGTAAGAAGGTAAAAACAAATTTCTCAGGACAATTTCAGAAGTATATAACATTACATATGTGGCATGTTAAGACTGTGTAATCAAAACTTCTGCTGAATGACAAGTGGCAAAATAACAAGCACCAAGCTGTCATGATAATGTGTAGCATGTCATATCTCAAAGCTCAGCTATGGTAGGTGATGGAGTAAACAGCTATACAAAAAAAATTGTTTGATATTATCACAGTAAAAATACATCACCTTAGCAAATACAGGAAAGTGAAAAAAAGGCCGATAATGCAAAAGCAAAACTAAGAATGATTATAAGCTAAGTTTCAATCAATCAATTTCACAATAACTAGACATGCACATCATCGTAAGGACTATTCCACCAAACAGGGCACACTCGGCATGCACTCATCAAATACTTTAATATATATATAGGTACAGCTAACCATAACTAACTCTCTTATGTCAGTTACAACAGCTGGCTACAGCTGGCAAGCTTAACTCTAGCACATGTCTAAAAGCTAACTAATGCAATAACCAACTGACTAATCTAACAAGAGTGATTCCAAGTGAAAATTGATTGAAATGAGTGAAGGGTGGTTAACTGACTGACGGCTGTCAAGCAGCTAGTTACAAGGAAGCTAAAACAGTTATAGTTGATTACACTACAGGTGTTTTATATTATGAGGGAGACTCTATACAAGCTCTCATGAGCTTGAGTTAAGTTATATTAGCTTTATGCTTTCTTGTACAAGAATGAAAGCTCTGCTATGTCAGTGTTTATATTACGAAAGAAATGAAGTATTGATACTTGAGAGTTAGAAATCAACACAAAGCCTATTGAAATCAACACAAAGCCTATTGAAATCAACACAAAGCCAGCTCAGTTATCTTCCATTCTTTCATATTTCGGAATATATCATGTTGGTCACAATCTTATTGCTCTATATCTATAATAGGGTTAGTCCAAATATTTGGTATGAAAGGAGAGCAAATTACTAAGTAAAATTTGGATAAGGGTTAATTTATGCTCACCTCTAAGACGTTGTAGATCACATACAGTTTGATTGTTGCTTGACCACGGATTATATGATATATGAAGCTGATATCTAAAACAACAAAAAATTAGGAGTGGTGAGCATAACACCAATTTCAGCATAAGAAACAACCTGATAATTCAAAACAGAAATATGTATATGGAACTAAACCTATTTGCTGCAAAACAGTGATTCCACAAGCCATAATAATAAAATAGCCAAAATCCGACAATTCAACTGGAGACAGCCTCTTGAACTTCCTGCCATGAGCATGACGAGGTCATGTTGATAGTATTAAATTAAATAATTAAACTGAAATCATGAATCACCACCAAATTTTTTAAACATGAGAATTAGTAGAAGAGCCAACAAATCAAAGCACATGAATTAGCAGACCATATCATTAAGTATGTGATAGATTCAACTTTTTTGGTAAACACAAAATCAGGGTAGATTGTCTCATTAAACCAATCTAAATCCTTTTTACGAGTCAACAAAAACGAACCATGTTCAATTTCCTTCGTAAATTTAATACAATTTTGGAAATTGAATACAAAATTGAACTAAATGCTCACAGCTCAAGTGAAAACTCTAAACTAAACAAAAAGATGCAAAGGGATAAGTATATCATCTAAATCCTAACAGGTGCACTGAATGACATCAAAGTATTATGACAGATCATGAAGAAAGGTGGCAAACCTTGTTTTCAGAAGCTTCCAAACGATCATTACCACCCTTGTTGGCATCACAGTTAACAATGACAGAAAGGAATTGAAACAGACAAAGAAGCCAACATCAATAAGCTGCAAATGAATTCAGCACTTGAGATACCATGACATAAAAAGTAGAATGCATAAACAGAAATACACAAACACAATTCTTAAGTAACTATTTCACAGTAAATGAATAGCTTCGGGTTACATCCTTCCCCCAAAACGCCTACATTATAACAGCGTAGTTTGGACCGTAACCCATTAGAATTGCACCAATGATGAAGAGTATAGAGGCTAAGAAGATTGTGTATCGACGACCAATGACATCAGAAGTTCTTCCAGCTGTTAAGGATCCAACTAATGCACATACATTTAAGATTCCTGCTAGAATTTCTTGTTGTGTGTCACTGATTCCCAAATCCTCTTTTATGAAAATCATTGCTCCACTCATAACACCGGTATCTGAAATTAATCATCAATGTAGAATAGTTATTATAAAAAAATGACTCGATATAAATGATTGAATAATACATACATGACTACTAAATTCACGAATAGTCAATTAGTAGTCACACACCTTACATTTTACATAAAATATAATAAGATATATTAGAAAACCTCTCTTCAATTTTGTTGGATAGGGAAATGAAATTAAAAAAAAAGTGAAAAAGATTAGAGAATGTGATAATATTACCATAGCCAGAGACAATGGAAACCATTGAAGCAACAAGGGCACAAGCCAAAGCATATTTGTTCAATGATGTGTTTTGAACTTCTTTGTCACCTTGATCAATTATCATGATGATGATGATATTGTTAATGGTTTTCGGCAGTTTCCTCCGCGGCTCATAATGAATCGACAACGCATCTTCTTCGACGCTTCACCATGAAGAGTAACAATCCGCATCCTAAACCTTTATGCGTCATCGATCGTTTTCATCAACTGCAAACAGAAACAGAATCGACCGGATTCCGCCGAACTCATAAAAGAAGATATGGAAAAACAAGTAAGAAAGAAGAAGTAACGATACCTTTGAATCTTTCGTCGCCGAGAATCATCTTTACAACCGTCTTTGAATCCGTTGAGATCGGTTGTCTAACACTCTTCTTCCCATCCGTTCATGGTGTCGAGATGCAATTCTTGCTTCGCTGGGGTTTGCGTTTGAGCGTAGATAAAAGGAATGAAATGTCTGCTTAGATGAAAAGGGATGAAGCCCCGGGAATCGCCTGCTGAAACTCCTTCTCTGCCATTTAATTGCGTCTTGAAGCTCCTAAGGTTTCTACTGTTGATTAGATTTTGGAAGAACGAGGATTGATGAAAACCAAAGGCAGATTTGGAAGCGTGGCATCAAGACAAAGAGGACAAAGGGATAATTTCGAAGAATGGAAGCTTCACCATTCTAGGCGCAACATCGTACTTCCGGCGGTGGTTCTTTGCTTCAATCGGATAAAAAGCTCTTTCAGAAAACCTAATCCTCTTTCAATTTTGTTTGTTACTCCTATTTTGTTTTTTTATATTTTTATTTGTTGTATTTTGTTTATAATTTAATAATAAATATTAGTTGCTGAAAATATTATGATATTGTGTTGATATTATGATATTGTGTTGCTGAAAAAAAGTGGGAAAGTAAAAGAATAAAAAAAAATAGCGATATTGTGTTGATAATCTAAGATCTTTTTTAGTACTAGACATTAGATAATATATTTTAGGGTTCATAATTTGTAAATCTAAATTTTAATTTCATGTTATATTTGAATGTGTTAATGATGGATATAAAATCAAATTTATATAAATCTCAAAAAAAAATTGTTTTACCGCGACGGGTGTTTTACCGTCGTGCCCATGAGAATTTTTAAAGGTTTTGGGTGCGACGGTTGTTTTACCGTCGTGAAATGAATTTTAGGACGGATAATTTTACCGTCGTGAAAGGTTTAAGGGTGCGACGGGTGCTTTACCGTCGTGATATGCCTTTTAGGACGGTTAATTTTACCGTCGTGACTAGTTGTTGGTGAAAAATCAATGTTAAAAGTGTTAAATGGGGGCCGACGGTTGTTTTACCGTCGTAATAATAATATTATGATGGTTAAATATACCGTCGCAAAATAAATATTAGGGACGGTTGGTGTCAACTGTCGTAAACACTGTCTCTATATGTCAATTACGACAGTTATCACATAACTGTCGCAATTTTTGTGTCGTTAAACACTAATTTTCTTGTAGTGTTTTATACTGACTTTATTTCCTGAGGACAAGCAAAGGTTCAAGCTTAGGGGAGTTTGATAACACGAAAGATATAGCATTTTCCGCCTGATTTACATAGATTAAACTTCCGATTCTTTGTTTATTATGTCATATTTTATCTCTATTTGTAGTATTTGCAGTATATTTCAAGTACTTAGCTTTTGCAAGGAATAAATGAGAAAAATAAGAAAAACAATGGAGAAATGAAGAAGAAATGACCATTTTACAGTATTCTAGCAGCATTCTGCACCAGAAGGCGTGCTGCCCAGCACAGTTTGTAAAAGTGTGCCCCTCGGCACACTTTATGTTACGACCGACACAACTTGAAGATATGTCCCCAACATCACAACGCGCATGATGCTCACCACGACCCATACAACTGCTACGAATTTATCTCCACAAAGCGGATGAAACATATGTTTTTTTACTAGATTTTTCTCCATGATGAAGAACGAGGATCCAGGGATTCCTCCTATTTTTGCTCTCTCTTGGAATCTATAAAAGGAGGCGGTTACCAACATTATTCGGGTCCAGACTTTTGCACCAATTTCCATTATTTTCTTCTACATATTGTAACTGCTATTATTTTCGAGTTTCGCAAATTTACTAATATTTTCAGTTTCATAGTTTTTAGTACTCTGTTTTCCAGTTTCGTAGAATTCTCATAAGCATAGAAAAGTGCACCATTAAAGCAGTATTTCTTCACATTGGAGGGATACTGCAACCTTAGTTTTTTTTCATAGCTTCAAGAATTCGTTAGGTCCATTTTATTTAATTCAAGATATTTTGTACAAGTCAATCTTGCCGGCTTGTGGAGGATACGCACTGCTCAGATTATTTTCTTCAGTATTTAATTTCAGGTTCCTATTTTAAAGTATAATTTATTTGTTCTTACCATGCATGCGTTATTTAATTTATGTTTTAATTTTATGTTGTCCTGCAATAAAATTATGTCTGGCTAAATTCCCTGATACCGGTATATAAGTCTTAACCGAAGGGATTCGGTAATAATTGGCATTAATATTTTTACAAAAGCACTTTCTGGTTTTAATTTCCAATTTGGATATTTAATTGTTTTTGTACGAAAGTAAAAGATAGTCTAAGGTTAAAATCAACAAAGCGAGAGTTTGAGGTTTTAACCAGATAGTGGTTATAAAATATTAATTTTAAAATCAGCGAGAGTACTTTAAAATTAATTGGACTCTAATTGTTTTTAAAAAATACTTTTAAATTTTAAAATGAAACTGCGAGAGCGCTCATTTTGAGTTTAATAATATGACCTGAATCGATAGAACAAAAGTGTGAGACGAGGGTTTTTAAATAAATAGTTTCCTCTTAAACATTTTTTTAATACTGAAAACAAATGCGAATGACTTATTGAATCCCTGAAGTTAACAAACTACATATCGGTGTCCCGTTATTAATTATTATATTTTAGTTAATTCCTGATTAAACCCAAATACCCAAATTTCATAATTAGCCTTAGCTTTACACAATGACCCTAAGATAACAGTAGTTTGACCATCAGTCCTTGTGGATTTGATATCTTTTAAAACTACGTGATAGACTGTGCACTTGCAGTCACTACACCCGACAGGCTCATAAAGTTCGCCGTCAAAACCCAATAAAAATCATTAGCCTTAGTTTTAGTTCTTAGTCTCCCTAAAATCTAATTATTCATTAGCCTTAGCTTTACAAAGCAACGATAGATTACAGTAGGTTGACATTGGTCTTTATGGGTTTGACAATCTTTTATATTACTTCGATATTTTTGTTCACTTGCAAACGCATCAAGCTTTTGGCGCCGTTATCAGGAACCAACAGTCAATATTGTTATTTCTATTGTTTCATCGTATAGACTAAGGCACTCTAAACTTAATTAATATGTATCACCCAAATTTTTCTACAACTCCCATTCTCAGTATTTCGAGGAATCACAAGAATCCCATAAATCTGACCTTCAAATTCTGAAGGAGGATTTCAATGCATCACTAACTCACTCTCACCCAAATTACCTCTACAGCTACCAATCACAACATTTTGAGGAGTCACAAGAATCCCATAAATCCGATCTTGAAACATTATTAGAGGATTACAATGCGACGCTAACTTATCCTCAACCAAATTTCCTTTACAATCACCACGCCCAATAATTTTAGGAGTCGCAAGAATCCTAAACTTGAACTTAGGTCAGTGTATTTTCAAAAATCCTTTTTCTTAATTAAGGCCTTAATCCATTTAACCATACTTTGACATCTTTTTGAAAGACTAAACGTCATTAACCTCATTCATACTTGTTGTGCCTTAGTGCACTTTTTATTTCAACCTTTTCATAAAGTTTAAGACATGAGTCTTTTCTTTGAGTATTTGCAAACCTTGTCACTTTAATAAACATGTTAATATTGAAGTAACTTTCCGCTTCTATGATGAGATTTGCACTGTTGAGTTAGTCTAGGCTATAACTTCTCCATATTTAAGTTGAAGCAAGTTCTCTTTTTACCATGATTGTCATAATTTATTGGTTTTCCACTCAGATAAGACGAAATGTCTTTTACATTAAAACCAATCATAACAAACCATTTTGGTCTTTTGTACCTGAACTACATGGGTTTTGATTTCAACATTGCACATTGTTGGTATGTAGGCCTAGAGCTCATTGGAAGCTTTATCAATTCAAAAATTTTAAAAAATACGTTTTTTCTCATCTCCCCAATCTTTTGTAAATAATGTTTGCTGATAAAAATATAATAGTAATTATTGATAATAATAATAATAATAGTAAAATTAACAATAATATAAAAAATATAACAACAAATTACAAGAACTTGAACATTAACTACGGTCAACCCACCATCTACTGGGCCTCAGAAACTTTCTTAATGGGCCAGCAATTATCCAAACAAAAAATGCACCCCTCTTATTATACCTTAATGGGCCAAAAGAACTTAAATGGGCCATTCTGATTTAGAAATCCCACGAACCCTTAATTAAAATACACACCCCTTTTTATTTAAAACAAACCAGAACTTAAATGGGCCGAATGAATTCAAAAGGACAACAAAAAAACCGTACTCCCTCTTACCATCTTAACCAGACCTTTAAAACAACTTAATGGCCCATCAGATTTGGATGGTTCATTAAAGAAATACACCCCCCTTAGTTTTATTATATAAGCCCCAAAAACTTAAAAGGGCCTATAAACCCCAAATGATACACCCCTTATTTAGCTTTCAAACCACTATACTAAATATATAACAATCAATGGCTTAGTCTCAAAATCTTACCGCTACATAACCCACATAGACCAACCGTCAAATCTATTGTTACTAATTGTTATGATGTATATCTAAGGCAATTGAATTAAGAATAAGAATGATGAAGTAAATAACTTTAATAAATTCATATGAATAACAATACTGGAATGTAATTCACATCAATCAATAATACTCTAATTGTCTCTACTAAGACTACTTACGGAGCATTACTTTCTACTTTGAAAAGAATCAGTTTAATATGAATTGTCACTTTCGCGTATTCAGAACCAAATTTACTCTCTAA